GTCAAGCCAGCTGGAGCCGGAGGCCAGACTAGATGGCTCAGGAGGCTCCTTCTGACTCACTTTGTTTCTCTGTTTCTGTGTTTCTATGTCTAAAATGACCTAGCTGCACCACTGATTGGGGCAAATATCTCAGCAGAACTCCATGATTGAATGCAATGTGTTCAGTATCAGCTGGGAATGTTGGCAGCAAGTTGGAGCATCCGTAAATATGGCTCATTGCCAAATTTGCTGCCATTTTAGAGTTCTGTGCCAGGAATAGCTATCTTTGTTCCATTAGAAAAGAACCAAGGAACAGTACTATCTGTTGACATATAAACAGTGATTACACATTATGTACCAACAACTAGCACACTTTGGGCCTTTCACTGTAATGGTTTTCAGTGCAAAAAATGTCTATCTGCTACTTCTTTCAGATAACCAAATGTCATTTTTCAGTGTAATGAAGTTATTATAGGTGTACCAGGATTTTTTCCCTCAAAGTACCTCTTCAGTAGTGGAACCACCCCCCCCCCCCACCACAACTTTTTCCCCAATACTCAGACCACAAGATATTACTAAGGAAATATCATTCTGCCCTGTCAAAACACATAGCATTTCTTTTGTAACTGAATATTATTATTTATTGATATGTACCATGCTATCAGTGTATGTTTTACAGGAAGGAAGATACTGGTCCAAATAGCAATATGTAATTTCTTTAAATCACAGCAACTCTGCTTTACTCCATATATAGGAACTCAACTGGACACATTCAGGTCAAGGTAGGATGGCTTTTCCAGCCCAGTCTCAGTAATGAGGCCTGATCAGCTTGCTCATTCAAATGCTACCCATTTAACTGGAAAAAACGCGGCATTTAAGAACAGCCCGAACAGCCAGGAATGGGAGTTAATACCATATTCAGAGTTTGTTCCATCAAAAAGAGACCTGGAGAAGTCGATAGAACTTGACTTTCAGACCTAAGGATGTGGAGTATGAAGTTCTTAGGTTTTGTTGGACTGCAGTTCCTGACATTTCTCCAGTTCGGCTATGTGGCTAGGACTGATGGGAGTTACGGTGCAATGACAATGAAAAGGCCACAGGGTTTCCACTCCTGTCCTGACGCCTCTTCCGCTCAGCTAGTCTGAGGTCACTACAACATAATTCCTCTATCTCTTCCTCCAAACTGGTTCCAGCTGGGGCAGCCTTCTATTGCAAGGGAACACTTAAGCTCTGTCTTACCCTGGTCTGCCTTTCTCTGGTGGTTTCTTTATATGCGTTTCCATTCACTACTAGGCCAGGCTTTCAAATAACAAGAAATACATGAAGAGGCTTATTGACTATCAGGAAATTTGAGAATTAACCACATGAAGGTAGTCACTCTCAATAGCTTTCAAGGCATTCATTGAGGACTTTTCAATCTTATTCATGGACCAGTCCTTTACTAAAAGAATGGAGAAGAGTTAAAGATTAAGAGGTGGGGGAAAAGGTTGCTGAGAAATGATGCATTGCCTAGCTTATACTCAGGTGGACATTTGCTGTTAGAGCAAACCAAAGCAGAACATCAAATATTTCAGGTTGAAGACAGATGACTGAGAGAAGGCGTCAACTATTAAATTTTTAAATGTATATAAAATTGTACAATTTTTACGGTTGTTCTTTTTAACTGAAATTGCTTTGAAAAGCTTTTAAAGGATAAATACTGAGCACCACTTACTAGAGATTAAGAAACAGTAATTTCCCCCCCACAAATAGGTTTGACTGTAGGAAGGGATATAAATGATGAATTAAAGTAAAGGTATTGGGGATACTGGGCTCAATTCTGCTGCTTCTTTCACTGGACATAATTCATTTCCCCAATCCCTCCTCCCCCAGAATGTCTGTAGCTCAGTTACCTATTTCCCTTCCATCTCTGTATGGCCCCTTTCAGCAGAAAAGTCTATTGTATGTGGAAGGTGGGGGAGCAAGACATCTCGAGGAAGGTTTCCTTTGATCTTCATTCCACAAGGTGGCACCAACAGATAATAAATTCGAGTATGAAGCCTGTGTGTTTGCATTTCAAAGCTGACCACCCGTAACAGATTAGCGGATTAATATTTTGCTCTAAAGGATCTGGCCTTTACTGTTGACATCAATTTATGTGCAAGCGCAGGTTTTGCAGTTGTAAAAGTCATTCAGACTATAAACTGCACAATAGATGTCAACTTATTCTTAGTGTGCTTCCCTTGAGCACCTCATAAACAGCTGCGAGGAGCTTGTTGGATCCACCAGGGCGGTGCGATGTCTTTCTCAGGAGCAGCAAAAGTGGCAGTCTTTCCCTTCCAGCCGTAAGAGTGTCGCCCGTTGATTAGTCAGCACCTATTTTCCCCACAAGTGTCTTTTGTGCAGCTTCTGTGCACATAGGCTTATCATTGATCTCTATTGCAAATAGAGCACTGTGTCTATTTATGGCCAGGACTTAAAGAACAGTAGAGCTCATGTACCATAGTAGAGCTTTTTGAAAAAGAGCCAAAGTGCAGAGGTCAAGTTTCCTGCGCTATAAGCAACTTAAACAGCAACACAGCGCCTCCACTGCCACCCCTGGCCTAGCTTGCAAAATAATCTGGCAATGGCCAGCAAACTAGGTCACTGCACATATTATCATTAAACACTTTGGTCAAATGTAAATAAGTGTTTTAGGATTCTTAGTGTGTATGTAAAACCATGCAGGGCTGTATCTGCAGCATGGACCTGATGTTTTCTGTCAGAAGTTGCAAATTCAGACTTTGACTACACTTCCCTAACTTCAGTTCAGAGAATCAGTGAATGGGACCAGGATGATGTTATCAAAATATTGCATTTCAGTTGTATGTATGGTCTTACAGATGTCTGTCAGCAAACAGAAAATAGGTGAGTCCAACTCTCAGGAATTGTCAAGCTTCTCTGGAAGAAACTCCTTCAGCCTGGTGCTCTATAGTTTCCCTTAGCCCTGAACAGCATGGCCAATGGCTGGGGATGATGGGAGCTGTAACATGTGAAGAGCACCAGGTTGAGGACACTGCTTTGGGGAATAAGAATTGCTTCAAATAGGAAGATCCTTTCATACACATAAGGTGGATAACCGCACTTATTATCAATACAGTGAACTTAATGGGACTTACTTCCGAGTAAGTGTTCACAGGATTGCTTTGTAAGCGCTGTCTGAAAAGGTGATGAGTGAATGAGATGAACACACTTGTATCATATGCACATTCAGGGACTTAAGATTTAACAGGGAGCTACAGCCAATTTGCAAGTAGTTTCAGATCTGGGCTTGTTGCCACATTATGTGTGAAATGATTCTCCTTTTAAAGAGATTTAATTAAAAAAAACCCCTCAACTGGGTTGTTGTTTTTACTCTACTTGACAGCAACATTTCTGGAAGGTTGTTAATCATATGACATTGACTACAACTTGTTATGCAGCTTGGTGCATATAAACAGGAAGTCTTTCTTGCATGACCAAAAAGCACCTAATTCTAGAAAGGCAAAAACGGAAAAATTGACTGTTGAATGAGTATCTGCCATGAGAACAACTTTACAGGTCTATCACCAACCCAAATATGAATATTTAAATTGTGCAAAGCCCACTTAGAATATTTAAATTCTAATTGTACTTCACCCATTTATAACAAAGTTGAAAGAAGATGCTGATTAAGAATCAGATATTTATAGAAATATGGACCATCAGGTATCATTTGGATATACAAATCTTGGCTAAATATCCCAAAGCATCTAAGTAAACACTTGACCTATGCCAAACCTAAGATGACGATGCAGATTACTGACACAAGTGTTAAAACAAGCTAGTACAAGATTTCAAACCAGCTATACTTAAGTCTTCCTGGGATGCACTACAAAAATACCAAATCATAGCATAATGGAGAGGCTATTTAAAGCCTTTGAAATCACCATCTGAAATTAAGCATGTGTGAGCCAAAATATAGGCTATGTGCTTATTTCAACATCCATGGCCTTGATTGGCATTATCACCCCATATTCCTCTTATTTTGTTAATGAATGCCAATCACCTGGAACATATTTGATTGCCAGACCAAAGTTTAAGTAAACCAAAACACTACTTAGTTCAGTTCTCCATCTCATAGCTAAATGGTCCATTCATTCCTCCTGTTCCCAGCCTTATGTCCAAGGTCATGGACTGAGAACAAGCAAAATGGCAACTTGAGATTATATGGCTTTGGAGAACACTGGCAGGTCCTACCCCCTTGTTAAAAGAGTGTGAGGAGAGGGAAGGCATGAAAACCAATACAATGTACACAGATCCAACTTCACTGCCACAGATCTAGAATCTAAAATATGCAGAATGCAACTTCAGGTAGTGCAGCAGTGATATCCTCTTTCTAGTTTAAAACGTACTTCATCATATATGAATTGAATTTAATCCAACAGCTCACATATTGCCATCATGGTATCCCACATGGAGCTTCAAGACGTTCAAAAATGATGAATTTGAAGTTGTTTCAATAGAGGGATATTTCTAAATGTTTGTGGTTAAATAAAAACACTCAACAAAATAGGTTGGAGATGGGGGCATCAGTTCAGTATTCAGCTGCAGCTAACCCTGTGAAATACACTTACATGCATTGCTAAATATATGATCTGTTACTCATATCAGTGTTTAAGTGGCACTTCATTTTCCCCTATGAAATAAAAAAAAACATATTCCTGTGATATGGAAAATATGCTTTTGCTCTCCCATGCTAAAATGTGAATGTTATTCCATTTCAGTGTCAGTATTCACAAGCTAGGCTATAATAAAACAAACATTTTCCACCAGTACCAGAGTTCTGCTATCCTTCTTTCTGGCCCTATTCCTCTGTCAAGGAATATTCATTTCAATGCAAGGTTTTTATAATTTGCTAAGAGGGCTTTTTATGCCTGATACAAGAAGCTAAAACAAATTTCCAGTGCATGTCTTTATGGATTATTTCCATCTGACAGAAAAGAAGATTTACATAATGAATCAAATCCTATAGATAATGAGAGTATTTATAAAATTAAAGTTTAATAGATAAATAGAATAAATACTTTATGCATCATAATTCTGGACAACTACATTTAAAGCAAGTAAGTTGGCAAATCACAAAGTTGTTGCCTCCTGGCATGTTCACTTTTGATAAAATCACACAGGCATGTTACAATGTTACTTATGAGATTGTGATGTCATAATTAGGCTTAAATCCTTTTTACTTTCTGCACTGATCATGACATATAGCATACAATAGTGTCAAGTAGTTTTTCCTTCAGAATGTTTTACACAACCCAACAGCTCAACAAGTTAAATGGGTTATATGGTGAAAGTGGGTAGAGGTGAAAAGGTAAGTTATGTCAAAGAAAAACATTGGTAATTTATATCTTGGGGAAAGTAATGCATTTCTTCACTTTTTATTGACATTGGCAAATTAAAATAGAATAAATTAACAAGTATGTTCTCAAAAAAAGTTTTGTACAAAAATACTGTCAAATTTCCTAAAAAGCTTTCAACACAGTAGTTTCCCCACCCCCCGAGTACTGAATAAACTATGTAAGTACAATGCCAAAATTTTTTAAAAAATGCAGAAGATAGAACCAGAACAAAAATAAAAGTGAAAGACCAGTGAAATGTTTTTCCAACAGCTAGAGACCATTCCATTCACACTATATTATTGTCTGTACAGATGGGGCAGTGGGGGAGGGGAACAGAGAGCAGAATTTAAGTAACAGTATTATTTTTCCTGATCATGGAGGGTTTGGCCCACATTTGTTAAGCTTCCAGTTTAGCAGACTAAAAATTAGCATCACTGCAATGCATAGTTAAAAACAAAGCAAGAGGGCAGTATTTGTGCAGGAATCTACCCTGAAGTTCATGCAACCAACTAATGCAATTTTTTTGTCCTTTAACTTAGAATTTGAATGCAATTCTAGTCATCTGAAATGATAGCCTACAGGAAATCCACAAGATTAAACACTTTGCCAATATTCTTATCTAACAATTGAAATAATTGGCATGTTACCAGTGAGGAAATGAAGCAGAGAAAGAGACTGAGAAATACTAAAGGATGAATCAATTAAAAATTGGTGTAGGGGAGGGAGGGCAGAAATGAGTGTCCAAGCTTAAAAATAAAGAAATGGCAGCAAATTAAAAAGAAAAAAATATACAAGCTTATAGTTTACTCTGCTTCCCAGATACTCAAGCTCCTAAAAGCCTTTGAAATACTGTGTCTAAAGAGGGAATGTTTTTCATTCGTACAGATAAAAAAGTCCTTTGTTTTGCAAGGAGTCAGCAGCTCACTCTGCTGGGTTGCTGTTTGCAAACGAAGTCTGTCATGAAATCGAACTCGTTCTGTCCCAGCCAGAGCTCAGGGAGCTCCTTGATGCGATCCAAGCCCATTTCTATGACTAAGGACATGAGGACCTCTTCATCTATGAAGTCAGTGTCTATGACATTGGGAGGCAACATTGCTGCAGGGACATGGGGCACCGAGGCAGGCACACCGCCGCCACCGCCGCCACCGCCGCCTCCATGCTTGGGGTTGCAGTCCCGAAAATGCTGGGTTGCTCCGTTGAGCTGATGACTGGCAGGGTGTAAGTCCGGCATGTAGTGGTTGTGAGAGTAAGGATGGTGGCTGAAGTACTGGTTGTTCAGCTTTTGCAACTGCATGCTGGCTGTTAAGGGCCCCCCTTGGGTGGCAACTGTAGGAGCCATGAACTGGGAATTGCTAAACCTCGCCGCCGGTGGCATGCTGCCGGGAGGATGGCCGCCGTTCACGTTCCCTGGCCCCATGGCATGCCTGAGCCCACTGTTTGCATTCATATTTCCACCTCCGTAATGTATATGGTCGCTCATCAAGGCACTGAAGGCGTGCTGCTGTTGCTGCTGCTGCTGCTGCTGATGGTGATGGGTAGGAAACTGACCCATTCCCATTCGATGAGCAGGATGGTGATGAAGCCCATTGGTTCCATCGGGGAAGCGCCCGTGGTTCATGGCCATCATGTGGTCTGCCATTTCCAGCCTTTAAAAGTTAATGTTTACAGAGAAAGAGAGATAAGCGTGCATATATTTGGAACCAGCCGCCAGCCACCTCCGTGGCTTCCTTCCTCGCAGTACAGTATCTCTTCAAAGGAAGCAATCTCCAGCAGGCATCTGTGCGGTGCGCCACCCCACCCACCCCGGGACCGAGTCACAGAAATATTTCTTGCCGCGCGCCTGGTTTGGTTCCTTTGCTTAAGCCTGCAATAGGAAGGAAGGAAGGCAGGCAGGCAGGCAGGCAGGCAGGCAGGCACCTTGTGCAAACGCAGAGGAATCCACCGCCACCCCCTGCAACTCGTGCACACCTACCAGCTAAATGAGCGTGCACACCAGCAACAATCCCCCTTCCTCTCACCCACATTTCTTTCTTCCCTCCTGGAAATACATGCACAAAAGCCTTACATAAGCGCTACAGACAGAAGAGCGCTGTCCGACCTTCTCGCTCTCCTTGTCAACAACTTTGGGAATTAAAGTCTGCAAGGATTGCTTGCGACGCAAGTAGAACTGGATTAAGGGGTCCTGCTGCAGCCACCCTTAATTCCCCTCTCCCTCCAAACAGTCTCATGATGACACTATTCTTGCAAGCAAGAGCTGCCCTACACATACAAATTCCCCGCACTTGGTCTGCCACTCACCTCGCACCCTCTAGTCTTCTTCTTTTGCTCCAAAAGGTGCAACTGAACAATCAGTTAATGTAAAAAGCCTTCCAGCATAGAGCAATCGATTCTCCTTGTCTCCTCCGGACTTGCGTGCACGGACAATAAGGACGACGCCGATTAATAATAATTATTGCTGGTGGTCGTGGAGGTGCGCCGGCGGCGGCTGCCGCCTTGCAAACAGACTCAACGCCGCTGCTTTCACTCTTCTGTGAGTTTCTCATCGGCACTTGCCAACAATGAGCTGTGTTTCTTACCCTGCTTTGGCCACAGCTAATATAGGATTTCAAAAGGGAGGAGCGAAAGCCTTCACAGGCAACCAGAAGTAAAACCTGGAGCAAGCGGGGATAACAAGCCAGGCGGAACTGGAAGGAATCCAAAGCATCCCTGTTCCTGCTGGCTGAGAGCGCGACACGTGTGCGCTCTCGGATCTGGGCAAATTACGAAGAAGGAGGGCGCGCTGGTTTTCCCCGGGGCTGCGGAAGGGACCGGCCGCCGAGCGGGAAGGGCCACGGCGACCACCGTCATCATCACGGCTCAAGCTTCAGTTTGGCTTTTCGGCCATAATCTGTTTACATCACCTCGCCGTCCTTCATTATCACGCTCTATTAGGCGCCGTGACCGATTCCGCGAGCAGCGTGGAATCGGGGTCACTCAATAGTGGGCATTATATTTATTTTGAATCTCTAATGTTGCCCGTCCCCCCTGCTTTTCCACTCCTGAAGAGGCGGCTGCGGAGCACAAGAATTTCATAGAAAGCAATGGCAGAGCGGGGGTTGTTTGCTCCGTCCTCCCCTTCAATGGCTACGCTTCCTTCCAGCACGGGGTAACTTGCATAGGTCTACTTGGGAGTAAGGGCCAGCAGAGCTTCCCCCTTTGGCCCAAGTCACAACAGGTACACGTTGCGTGCACCAACACACGCCCGCCCCCTTCCGAATCCGCTTCTGTTGCAACATTTCTGGAGGCGTGTGTTGTCCTCCAGGGCACACACAGATCCAATCCGCGCTTTCGAGGTGGCACGCCGCTTCTCCGTAGACATTTTGCGTTCACCTCTCCTGGTAGCTTTGGCATTCAAACGGAGGCGTCTCTCTGCAAACAAACTCAGCGATCTTCGGCCCAGAGATCTTCCTTTCCTCCTCTCCTCTCACACACACCTTTTAATAAACACAGCTACAGTAGTGCATATTTGTCCTGGGGGGGGGGGGGGGCGGCAAAGGCTGCAGGTTTGGCCAACCTCCCGCTCTCTACGGAGGCAATGGATTTTGCAAAAAGCAAACACCACGTTAGGTTTACATTGCTGTAAAAGAATGCAACGCGATAATTGCTGTGTAAATAAAAACACGTCCCGCCCCACAGGTTTCTCTTTACAGCTAGTGCTCGCGCCCTCTTGCAGAGCTGCTAGCAGGGTCAACGGAGCTGATAACGCAGGCAGAAATAATAAGCCATCCCTGGCAGCCTTGCAGGCTTTCACACACAGAAAGGAGACAAAGTCACCTCGCAGGCAAGCCCAATCCAAAAGCCAGCAATGCTGAACTTTACATATTATCCCGAGATTTAAAGTCTTGGGAATTTTCCTATAGGCAAGAAAGGGGCATGCCTATACGTGATCACCAGGCGAATAGATCTAAAGGACGGTGACTCCTCAAGGAGTCGTCAGAACTCTGTCCAAGTTTGCTGAGGGCTCTGCACCCGAACTTAGGGCCAAGGGAGTGTTGATCATAACAGTGTGGAAGCGGCTGCGGCGGTCATCTAGTCCACCCCAAGCGATTACAAAACCGAAGGACTGGGGGCGGATCCACCGCACGGTAATCCGAGCTGGGCAGCTCTGTAACAGTCGCTCCGTTTTCTGGGAGCCATGCTTCTGCAACGTCTTAATCCCCCAGCTAGAGAATCGTAATAGTGGGAGGACTCCAGCACTGGTCCTCAGTGGTGCAGTTCGATCATTTTACATCCTGCACATTACATTTTCATGGGACTGCCTCCTTAGATAGCTATGAGCATTTAGTTGTGAAGCACAAAATTAGCTTCTCTCTTCATCCCTCCAGTATGGCTTGCTTTCAGTTGCTTCTACTTTGCGGATACATAAGAGCAACAGTCAAAGAAGCAAACAAACCAAAAAATCAATTTGCCAATCCTGATAAAGAAAGGAAAGCCTGAGCGTGTGGGGTTCTGGATTTTATGCTCACTCAAATCATAGCTCTGTCAGGACTCCATGAATAGCTGTTTGTCCCTGTGGTCCTTTTGTTGGCATAAGCAGCATTTGTTGCAGTAAGGGGTGACATACTTTAAAGCTAAAAATAACAGTATGGATATCTAAGCGTGGTCGTGTATCCCTGTCCCCAAAATATATATTTGTAAGGACAAAGGATACTGTGGTTTGTCAGTATCTTTGGCCCTGCCTTGACCTGCAGTGAAGTCTATTTGTACCTACTGCTCTCTGGGTAATTTTGTTTGGAAGAGTGCAGGTTGCACTGAGAAGCCTTGGACTTCAGCTCAAGGTCTAGCCTAGCGGTATCCCGGCTGGCTCCATTTGGATTGCCTGCATAAAAAAGCCATCAAGGGCACAGTCATTGGTCCTTAGTAGACCTTTGTGGTCAACTATCACAACATGGTTCAGAGCAACATGGAGTGCTTCTCCTGCCTGCCTTAGTGGATTTTTCTCCTTCATATCCTTATTAAGCTGTTCTCTGGCTTAGATATTAAAAGTATTCTCTCTCATTGCTTTCTTGCTGTTGGCTGTGACTAATTTTTTAAACTCACAAGTTAGTCACCTTATACTTCACTTCTTTGCTTCTTTCAGTTTCTTGCAGCTCGCACAACTTTTTCTCCCTCCCTTTCCTTCTTCTTCTTGCAAGGACTCATTATTTTTTCTTTTGTGAAATGCAAAATCTGTTTTAGGCATGTACAAAACTGATGATATAGAAACATCTTTTAGAGATCCAGTCAATTGGTCATGATCCAGCTCTTGCACTGGCTATTCCAATTGGCCAACTCCTGTCCAGAGTCTCCTTGCAGATCTTTCCCAAGTCAGAGACCCTTTAAGATTTATGAACATGGGGCTTAGTCATGCAAAGACCTGCGCTCTAGCACTGAATTAAACATTCTTCATAGTAGCCCAGTTTGCCCTCCTCTCTAGAGAATGCCTATAGGCAGATTCACCTTGCCAAACTAGAGAATGAAGGGAAGTATTTTAGGAAGAGACAATGGCAATGTCAAGAAGAGGGCACTGAAGAGCTAAAGGTTCAGAGAACAAGTGCATCATTATTTACTTGGTTGGTGGAATGCAAAATTCATGTGTGTGCCAGAAAGCAAGCTTTCAGGACCATCACATCCACATGTAGTTTGGAAAGCAAAAGAAAGACTAACATGAAGCAATGAGAATGTGTTCAGGGCAGAAATAAGGAAGCTCACCAGTTTTCACAGTCTGCACAGTAAGAGAAGAGATATGACATCATAGCTGAATAGGTATATGGTGAGATAGCTGAAACAATTTGTTGAGTTCAACCTGTCTTTTGGGCAATTGCCAGATCAAAGTGATAAACATATATTTCCTGGCCTCTCTGATATCAGGCACATGGATTTCTTTACACTTCATGTTTGGAAATTTTCTATGTGTCAAGCAGCAATGGGTGTACAGATTGAGGATGAGGGTTTATTTATTGGCGTGTTTGTTTTGCAAGACCAAAGTGAGGGTGAAAATGAAAGGCTGTCTTTGTCTTGGACGCAATTTTATTTGGTCTTCTTTTTCATATGAAAATTTATCTGAGTGCATGGTAAAAGGATAAGGCAGATGTAGGGGCAGCGGCAAGCAAGACAAGAGGTTGGATCCAGTGGGGATTATTGCTGCTTTTCCTTGTTCATCAATAATCTTAACCTAGGGTTTGGCTTGGGTTTGGCAATAATCCATGGCTTGCTGAATTTTGGGTTGTGATGTGTAAATTCTGGTGCATGGACAAACCATGGTTTGTTTACCATGACCAACCCAGAAAAAAGGATCCATTGCTTGTTATTGATTTATAAATTCTGGGTTGTTTGAATCATAGCTTCAATCATGGATTGATTCACCAGACTACAGAGGCAATACGCAAGAATGGTAACCTCTCTCTACATGGAAATACTATGCCATGACAAAGCCATTTGGGATACAAGAAGGGAATGGACAAAGGAGGTAGAAAACCAATCCAGACTGAGAAAAGAAACCATGGTTTGAGCATCTGCCAGACAAACCCCAGAAAAGGCAATAAACCATAGGTTAAATAAAACATGGGTTAGTGTTATATGGGAACCACGTTTCTGTGAGCCTGAATTTGTAACAGCTGAATTGGGTGAGTAGTTGTTGGATATTATGCTATTCTGCTAAAGATGGAAATTGAATCCAGGATTCAATTTTGGGATACTTCCAGAGGAAACTTTCCTTATCCTTCCTCATGGAATTTAATTCTGTGTCATAATCTTTACTTGTAACCCTGCTCCCCCATGTCTTCCCATCATTTGGTTTAAGAAGTTTAAATGACAATATATTCAGAAAGAAAAGATGGAATGGGTATGCAATGTCTTCTCACTGGTATGATAGGACCTTCCATCTGGAGTTCCAAGATAAAGGTGCTGACCTTACCTGTATCAAAGAGACTTAAATATATGAGGGTAAGGGTGTATTCAACCCTTACACAGACATTTACTGGGAATTCTGGAAATAACAGTGGGTGAGGAGTGGATATCACCATGATAAACTGTATTTTATAAACTTACATATAGCCTGAAGTGCTAGATCATGAATAATCTTGGAAACTAAGCACATGTTGGCCCTGGTTGAAATCTGGATGGGTGACTTAAATGTTGTGACCTGCCTAGAGATGTAATATAATAATTCTTTACTAGTACTTTCTCCAGCAGTCTGCACAAGAAGAAAAGATACTGTTTTGGTGTACCCCCCAACACACTGTCTAACAATTTCTGATCTGAAGGGTGAAGAATGAATTTAACTCTCCTTTGATTGACAGATCTCAACTTGGTTCAATTAAGCCTTGTGATGACTGGTCTACTTCTTAAGACTAACTCTTCATACAATTACAAAAACTTTTCGAACAATCACATTGGTTTTTTTTTTTTTTGTTATTGCTCATCAGTACTTGTTTTTTATGTGTTCTATATATTATAAGCCATCATGAACAGTTTTTCGTGGAAAGATGGCGTATAAATTGAAGTTAAATCTAAAGTTGAACACTGGGTTTAGTTTGGTTTAATCCACAT